AGGTCCTATATTCTGTTAGTAATTTCTGCCTGTTCTTCTTTTTTGTTGTTGTTCTGTCTGTTTTCCTACTGGGCCCAGATCCCACTGGCAAAGAGGATTGGATTGACCGCCCGCCTGGATCGGGAGGTGTTTCCTGCGTAGATGCAGAAAAGCAGTACGCAGTTCAATCCTGATTTTCTGCATTTTGGCCACAATACGCGTCCACATTCAGCCGTTAAATCCAATCCTCTTTGCTAGTGGGACCTACCCACTGGTGTGGTGACTACAGTATGCCGTTAATTCTCAGACAGTTGACAATGTGTCAGAGAAGTGAATGCTGCGAGTTTTTTTTTTTTTGCCCTTTTTCTTTTCCCTCCATGCTGTGAGGTTTCTGTAGAGTCCTTGGTAACTTGGTACTATGAGCCTGCACAAAACCAGAAAAATGTAAGTGCATCTTCCTGCAGAACGTGGCTGGATTCATCCGTCCGGTTGTTTTTTTCTCAACTTGTGCGGAAGACGCACTCACATTGTTTTTCGTTTCGTGAGTGGCGTGGCGAGCCTGAGGCCCTATATGGGACGTTCAACGTTGAGCGTGAATGCCAGCACGTGTTGCTCCCCGTGAATAAACTGGATCCATTTCTTCTTCGAATGAAAAAAAAAAAAAAGAGAGAGGATGGGGGTCAATGAAAAGGGAGGCGCAGCTACCGACAAAGATGCGCGGTCTTTGCCTTAGCTGGGCCCCTAGTGGCTGGCTGCACTGCCCTATCCCTGATGACCGCTGTTAGGGCGAGGGGCGAGGGGCAACACGAAACCCTTCACTCCGGGAGGCAACTATGCTTACAGGAGTCCCTTTAAAAAAAAAAAAAACAATACTTGCGGCGCACGCCGTGCGCGGCACCTGCGCACGTGCGGCGCAACGCGCAATGCGCAGGCAGCGCCCGCACGATGTACGCCACATGACCGAAAATAGGGGTCGAAAAAAAAAAAAAAGTTGGGGGGKGGGTTGCAGGTGGTCGGGGGGGTCTCCAAAAAAACGGTACGGGGGCCGCGCAAATTTTTTTTCGGGCCGCGCCAAGCCCGCAATTTTTTTTTTTCTCCAACGTTCGAATACGATCTCTGGGAGGTGTAGTCTCCCGCCCAGGCCCCCCACATTCAACATTTCGCGCGGCCGTCGACCTCCGGAATCGACGTCGTCCTCCATACGGCAGCAAGCAGCGGGAGCAGGGGGCAGGGGGCGGTGGCAGCAACCTTCGTCACGGTGCCGCGATCCTCCATCGCCGGGAAAAGCGACCCAGCGGCCAGGGGGCAGCAGCGGGCAGCGGGACAACGGGCGGTCTTCACACCACGCAAGGTTGGTGCTCTCTCTCTCTCTCTCTCTCTCTCTCGATTTTTTTATTTTTTATTTTTCGTTTCGAATGTCGACCCTATGGATCGACGTGTGTCATCCTCGCGCCGCGGCCATGCCTCTCKCTCTCTCTCTCTCTCTCTCTCTCTCTCTCTCTCTCTCTCTCTCTCTCTCTCTCTATTTTTTTTTATTTATTTTTTCGTTCCGAATGTCGACCCTATGGATCGACGCTTGTCATCCTCACGCCGCCATGCCTGCCTCTCTCTCTCTCTCTCTCTCTCGATTTTTTTTTATTTTTTTTTTCGTTTCGAATGTCGACCCTATGGATCGACGTGTGTCATCCTCGCGCCGCGGCCATGCCTCTCTCTCTCTCTCTCTCTCTCTCTCTCTCTCTCTCTCTC